TATTGTACTTTGCTCGTGTGGTATTCTTTATAAATCTCTCAGCATGGTTAGAGGGAACCTGTGACCCAACAAATTCATTACCAGTGACTGCTTTGTGTGAAAGTTGTGCACGTGACAAATAAAGTCTTGAAGTCTGACTGTTGACTTTCTTCATCTTCTCCTCTTCAGTCCAATAAGAACGACTTCCGTCGGAAGTGGGACAAGGACGAGTATGAAAACCTCGCTCAGAAACGACTGGCGGAGGAGAGAGACAGGGAGAGGAGAGATGGGAAAATTGCTCCGCCGGTCAAACGGGAACTCCTGCGTCACAGGGACTACAAAGTGGATCTGGAGTCTAAACTGGGAAAGACCATTGTCATCACTAAGACCACTCCTCAGGCGGAGATGGGCGGGTAAGAGTTTCACCATGAACCTGGAAAAGTCATTTGTTTTCATGTCTTTGATTCTTATTAATTAACTGATCGATCATTTCATTATACTTTTCTCACATTTGTATTTTTTCCTGTTTGCGGCCTTGCTCTGACTGGACATCTCACTTCTTCTCTTGCAGTTATTACTGTAACGTCTGTGACTGTGTCGTCAAAGACTCCATCAACTTCTTGGATCACATCAATGGAAAGAAACGTGAGTTCACATCAGGAAAACTAAGAGTCAGAGGTCGTCTAAGACATTTATTGCGGGGGTGAAGCCCAAATGTATTTGTAAGTGTCAGGATGGTCACTGTGTGTGTGTGTGTGTGCGCGTGTGCGTGCAGACCAGAGGAACCTTGGCATGTCGATGCGTGTGGAGCGTTCGTCTTTGGATCAGGTGAAGAAACGTTTCGAGGTGAACAAGAAGAAGCTGGAGGAGAAGCAGAAGGAGTATGATTTCGAGGAGCGCATGAAGGAGCTGCGGGAGGAGGTGAGGACGTGGTTTGTTTGACGGCCTTTGTTAATTCCTGCTGTGACATGTAACCCATCAGTTTCTGTTGTGGAAACTTTTCATTTCACTTTCACTCAAACTAGAGCTTTGTGACTGTAAAGGCAAATAAAAATATTTATTTTATCATTGTAAATTAAAGTACATACATTAAATCAATGGGCTGAATATATTACTTCAATGTCTGACTATAGTCTGCTATATATAATATCTAAGTGTGTGTGTGTTGTCAGGAGGAGAAGGCAAAGGCCTACAAAAAGGAGAAGCAGAAGGAGAGGAAGCGACGGGCAGAGGATGACGTGGACTTCGAGGAGGACGATGAGATGGCGGCAGTCATGGGTTTCTCAGGCTTTGGCTCGTCCAAGAAGAGTCACTGATGCTCCACGACATGAGACAACACGGTGTTAGAGACCACAACCAGACTGTAAACTCAGGACAGACGAGTCCTGGCTTTTATTTTGGTAGTTTTATCCGTCACTCTGTTGTGATGACGCCTACTCCTGCAGCTTCCTGTCAGAGACACAAGTAAACGATCGTTGACGCCTGCGATGAAGCTGCCGAGCGAAAAGTCGTCAGAGAAACGATGGACGGACGCGTTCAAGTTCCTGCAGAAAAAAACGAATTCAATTTTTTTGTCAGCTTTTCCTCATTTTTGCTTGACATCAAAATAAAGTTTGACAGAAACAAAGATTCTTCATGACAACAAAGAAAAGCTCAAACAGCTTCACTCATTTTATTTTGTTTTTATTATATAAAATAAACTATTTTTTTGTTTCCAGTTGATTGGTTTTCTCATGTTTATCAGCCGCTCTGTGTATTCATCTAAACACAATTAATTCCATTATCAACATATTAGTTTTTCTAATACATGTAATGTTAATGTAAAACAAGTACTTGGACTTTGTCTGGAGGCGAAGGTGGCTGCCCCGCCGTGTCTCTTGAAAATGAGTTGGTGCAACTCAAGAGGTTTAAGATTTGAATTTAGAAAACCACAAACACAAAGAGAAGTTGTCCACAGACTTGTGGCCACGTGTTGATCTGAGTCGTCTCTCATAAAGACATTGAATTTAAATGCAGAGAAACAAATCATTTGTTTAATGTTTATTAAGTTTCCACTTTATTAGAAGTAAAACATTATCATGACGTTGCCAGAGTTTTTCATGATTAACAATGAACTCCCAGAATGCACGTCTCTGTGTTACTAGGTGTGTCTGGTTGTATTTGTGTTTCACTGATGCTGACAGGAAGTTGATGACAGTTAAAAAAAGACAAGTTAAAATAACTGAGGCAGCAGCTCAGACACACGTCTGTACTTCTATCTTAGGGACGACACTCATTGACAGAATACATTCCTCAGCCCCTTACTCTAACTCTAACCCGAACCATCCAAACTAAATGTCTGACTCTAACTCTAACCTAAACCTGATTCATATATTCATACATGCCCCCCCACCCACACACACAGACACACACACACACACACACACACACACACACACAATCGAACATCTCAGTCATTTCTTGTGGATGCAGAACAGTTTCCTCGTTTAGTCTTTATGCTAAGCTAAGCTAGCATCTCAGCTGAACAGCGTCAGGGAAACAGATTTTTAACATGAACCATCAACACGGAGCCAATCCTAATGAGAAGCTGACTGCTGTGAAGACTTCAACTCCCATAATTCCACACTGCTTCACTTCTGGTGCTAAATGAAATGTGTGTTAAAATTGTCATTCATGCAAAAATGGGAGGGGGGTGAAAGTCCAGTTTAATGTTTTTACTTTTCCATTTTTAGTTTCAGCCTCTGGTGAGCGATGAAGCAGAGACGAGTCTGAGCTCGATACTGATCCAGAGTCAGCTCAAGCTTCTCGTCTGTTCCGCTCTGTGGTCAGACCCCCCCCTGCACACTCACTTCCTCCAAGAGACGAGAAGAAAGAGAGAGACAGAAGAGAGGAGGAGAGAGAAAGAAAGAAGGAAGCCATTTTGGTTGAAGGTTATCGCGTCACTTTCTTTCCTCTGGTTTCTTCGCGTTTAGAGACTCGAGTCAGAAAGTGTTGAGGTGACGGGAGGAAGTAAAACACAGTCAGACCTTTGTTTAGCTTAGTGACTCGTTTGGATTCACAGGAAGAAGAAGATCGAGGTCGTCTGTGTACGAGCAGGAAGATCAACCCTGTAAGAGACGGAGGCTGAGACACTGTCTCTGATTTGACGTCAGCCGGGCGGACGCTGCAACTTTGAGGGGACGACAGGAGGACGCAGGATGAGCTCAGACAGGGTCCCGTCCAAATCAGAGGTGATGGGGTGGAGCCCACAGCAGCTGGCAGACTTCATGAAGAGGGTGAGACACCTCCACACACACACCCTCTCTCTCTGCAGTCACGTGACTTCGTATTCAACATTGAACTTCAACTTCAAGTCGTCACCTTTAACCGCCACCTGTCAGTTTAACGTCAGGGGCGGGGCCTCTGCCTGCTCCTCAGACACAGAAGCTGATTGATTTTTAGTGTCATTGAATATTCATGAACAAAATACAAGAACCTGGAACAGAACCCAGAGAGACTGTTCATGAGAC